TTACTCAGTATTAACTAAAACAAGCATGTCAAACTTTCGGCCTGCAGGCTGCATGCGGCCCATAACGAAAATATATGCAGCTCAGCCAATATAACGGTATGTAAGAAATGTTTTAGTAAAAATTTTGTAACTTAATTTTTACAATATCCTGTTACACATAATTATTATTAACAAACTACAATGTTTGTTAATGACTGATTACTAAAATCATGTTGCTTTCATTTCCCTTATGCGCAGGTGCACCATTTCTCTCCACTAACACTAGCTGCGAATATTTTAGCAGCTGATTGCTACGTCATTAGTCTTGTACTGACTTGCTTGGTGTGCGCAATAGAAAATATTTCGCTTTCGGAGAACAAGAAAGATAGGTTTATTTGTGTTACGCTTATTAATTTGTGCAGTTATTCAGTGTCTGATAAGTTAATGTTCAAGAAAAAAATGTTAATTTTTATTAAAATGTTCTATTATTTTATGTTAACGATTACTCTTTTGTTTTAGCCCTTTGTGTTCAGCATGTCTCTATGAAATAAGCCTACGTTTCTATGAAAATTGAAGCTTTTGTTTTTTTGTGGCCCACATAAACCTTGTTTATTTGGTCCGTGTAGCCTTTGAGTTTGACATGCTTGAACTAAAATGTCAAACCATCCTATTTCTGAAACCAGCATCTATTTAGTAAATGTTTCTACAATATTAGCACAGTAGAACTTGCACAGTATTGAAATGAAATGGAAATCATGGACCATCGGAAAGTTTAATCTATTTTTTTTTCTTTACAGGGAGCTGATGGCCCTAAGCAGGAAATTCAGTTGTTCACCAAACGACGGGAGCAGCTGTATCATCACCACGAAGAATCATCCCAAACTGAAGAAAAGCGTAGGGAACAAAAAAGACCCTTGAAACGTCTGGAGGGAAAAATTGCTGTTAATGACTTTTTTCAAGCGAGATTAGACTCGGGCAGGAATAAAGTAAGAATTTTGTGAAGTACATGGCATTTCTTTGGCAGTGAAAATGATCATATTTTGTTATATCGTCTAATGTTTAAAGTTGTTAATACTACTTATACTTTTTTTAATGTTGAAAAGAGAGGAAAATTTGCTACAAACCCTTCTGATTTTATCATAAAACCTCTCCTCACTTCATATCTTCCTTTTCTCATTTTATACATATTTGATATTTATTGTGAGGGCTTTTATTAATGTATTTCTTTTTCTAAAAATATATTTTTATTGATTTCAGAGAGGAAGGAAGAGGGAGAGAGAGATAGAAACATCAATGATGAGAGAGAATCATTGATCAGCTGACTCCTGCAAGCCCCCCACTGGGGATCGAGCTCACAACCCGGACATGTGCCTTTGACCGGAATCGAACCTGGGACATTTCAGTTTGCAGGCTGATGCTCTATCGACTGAGCCAAACAGGCTAGGGCTAATGTATTTCTTAATGTACCTTAAAAAGAGGGTTAGAGGAAAAGGAGGTCAAAGGTGGAATTTTAGGCACTTAGCTAGATATGATGGGTATTGGAAATATTCCTCAAATGATTATTATATAGACCGTTACCTTCTGCTTCTCTAAATCTATAAGGAAAAAATCAATCTAAAAGTGGGATGGAAATAGGTAGGATGCAATATTATTTATTTTCAGGAAGATACTCTATTTCACTACCTCTCCACAGAAGTGCTCATCATACTCAGACCTATCTTATATTATTTTTATAATTGCTATGGCTCAAAGTTTAATCTCACTCACTCACCACTCACTCATTTAGTCTCTCAGTCCATTCGTCCATTTGTTCATTCATTCATTTATCCAATATGTATTGAACACTCAATTTAAAAATTTTTCAGCACTTAATGAAGTGGTATCAACAATGTCCTTCACAGAGTCCAAAGACAAATCCATTTTCTGCTAATTCCTTTCCCATCTCCTTCCCAAATACATTGACTAATCTAATGTATTTAATGTGTATCCTTTTGTTATATATGTTCTTTTAAATATGATTTTTGTGTATATATTTAAAATTTGTGTAAATGATATTGCATTAAAAATTATATTCTAGCCCTAGCTGGTTTGGCTCGGTGGATAGAGCGTCGGCCTGCAGACTGGAGGGTCCCAGGTTCGATTCTGGTCAAGGGCATGTACCTTGGTTGTGGGCACATCCCCAGTAGGAGCTGTGCAGGAGGCAGCTGACCGATGTTTCTCTCCCATCGATGTTTCTAACTCTCTATCCCTCTCCCTTCCCCTCTGTAAAATATCAATAAAATATATATTTAAAAAAAATTTATTCTACTGCTCAGCATTATATATATTTAAAGTAAATTTATTGGAGTAATATTAGTTAATAACATAATTTTCAGGTATACAACATTATAATTCAATACTCTTATACTTTTGAAACTGTGCCTATAAAAAATGTATTCTCTGTTTGTTGGATGTAAATTTCCATAGATAGCTAATGCTCAAGCATATTATTCATGGTTTAGATAGTATCTCTGATTATTCCTTGATTCTGGAAATGGTATGCTAAATTCTCCAACTATATTTTTGATTTATCCATTTGTCTCTACAGTTCCATCAGTTTTTGCTTTATAGCCTACTGAAGCATATATGATGATGATCTTTTCTTTTAAGCACAATAAAACATTTTCTTTTTTTGTCCTTTATAAAATACTAGAGGCCCGGTGCACAAAATTCATGCACGGGTAAAGAGTCCCAAGGCCTGGCCGGCAATCAGGGCCGACGGTGGCCTTCCTTCCCCTGGCTGCCGGCCGGGGCCTTCCTTCATTCTGTGCCTCCCCCCAGTGGTCAGCACACGTCATAACGAGCAGTTGAACTCCCAAGGGGACAATTTGCATATTAGCCTTTTATTATATAGGATTGCTTTAAATTCTCCATTTTCAGAAGTTATGGTTACTAATGCAATTTTCTTTTAGTTCATGTTAGTCTGAACATGATATATCTTTTTATCTTCATAGCTTTCTGTCTTTCTCTGTGATAATAGACATTATCTGTGATAAAATTCACCTCCAATTGGCGACTTTTTAAATATGTATAGCCCTAACTGGCTTGGCTCAGTGGATAGAGCATTGGCCTGTATACTGAAGGGTCCCAGGTTCGATTCCAGTCAAGGGCATGTGCCTTGGTTGCAGGCA